TCGTCACCGGTGGTGGCCGTGAGCGGGAATCGAACTCAGTCCGCCAGGTTCATAGCACAGTGCGCTAACCACCGCACCCCACCACGAGCCAACACACGCGCATATTATTGTCAATATTATTGTTATTCCAGCCATTGTCAATCCACCAATTAATGAATGCCTCTCCACGCCACGTTTGTCATGGAGATTATTTTTAACCGTACTTGGTGAAAGGGGTGCCAAGGACCGGTTCAGATATCACTCGCCACTCCTGTCATCCGCAGTCGGAAATCAAACGCCGAGTTTCACAGCGCAGTACGCTAACCACTGCGCCACCGCTCCACCCCATTGTACCGCGTAATAGGAAGGGAAAACACATTGTAAAATGTGCATAATTCAGAAAAACATACAAAATAGAATCCCACACACTCGTGCGGACTGTACGTGTGGGCACTCGGTTACTCACGGACGCACTCTCACCGCACCCACTTTCGTATGCACCAGACCTCAGCATTGTAACCTGACTACATAACGATCTGACATTACGATGCCGCGGGTATCGTAATGTCAGATACGCGCACCTGCGTGATGCCGCTTGCTAATTATTCTCGCTAAATGAAGCTCGCCCCCCCCCCACTCCCCCCTTCCCCCACAATCTCAACCCACCCAACCCACTCACTCTCTCACCCCCTCTCCTCCTCCTCCTCACCCCCACTGTTATCCTCCCCCGCCCTTACCCTCCAGCGGCAGTCTGAATGCAAGACCCAAGCGCGCGTTCCTTCACGCATAGTTGAGCAGCACATGCGGAGCCGAATTCTCAATTGTTTATTTTTTTTGTCACTTTCCATTTGGAATGCGTCCTCCGAAGAAGACATGTGTGAAATTCTGACAACTCCGTATGATTTCGCGTAGATTTAGGTCGACCCAGCCCGTCGTCGAGTCGGGGTTGATCAAATAAATAAATAAATAACCCACACTCTGTGAGACGCCAACAGTTAGGTGGTCTTTTGGAGAGACTGGCTCCCGTCATAGGAACGTGAAATTTCAACCGTTTGTTTCAGGAAGAGACGCACATCATCGCCCATCGTCAGCAGCCATGGTCTATCCACGGCTAGATGAAGACCTCTTCACGCCATTGCCATTACTCGCGGTCTGGCGGTGACAGCCCTTCTCGCTCATTGATATTCACTGATCTTATCGCTCCATCTCCGTGGTGGTCGTATGCTCGAGCCAATGTTCTCTTTTGGTTACCATTCTATCACCTGTCTCGTCCATCGGCTATAATTCTTTCAAGCGACGTGTCCTTCACAAGCCCAATGAACTTTTTTCACCAGCCAATACGATGTCCTAAAATGTGCCTTTGTTCCTTGATCAATGTGTTCCTTTTCCGTCTCTCAGTGCAAATCCCAGCTAGCATCTCTCCGTGTTTCTTTTGTGCACGTTTTCGCTGTTGTTACATTTCCTTTGTCAGTGTCAATGTTTTTTAAATCCATATTTAATACACTAAACCATTTAATTTACCAGGTAAAACCCACTGAGCTACAGAATTATCTCTTTTGCAGAGGCGATCTGGCCGCACACGACAGCTGATGGATGTGGCTTGAATTTGGGAATTTATAGTATTTGAATGCATAAATGTGGAGGGCAAACCCTAAGGACCTGGAGAAACATCCATGCGACCACTGGGAAAGAACGCGCGAACTCCAAATATACAGGAGTCAGGGCCGAGATGTAAGCCACGACATCCTGCATAGCAGGCGATGGAGATAACATATCGCCACTGCGAGTAATGTGCACGAACTGAACACTTTTTTTCTGATGAGAAAAATAAGAAGAGACTTTAACCTTTCTGGCAATGTATACATTGTCTTTGAATCTGATTAGCCTACACCAGATATAGACTTATGTATGGCCTTGTCTCACCAGTTTTTGACCAGAAAACGCCAAAAGGCGAACAGTACAAAAGCAATGCAAGTATCAGCGAATCAATAGCTGAAGTTGAGCAGTTATATCTATGTGACCTTTTTGCCAGTATACAAATGATGAAAAATATAATAATATGATAGTCTTATTGTTTTCATCATACATATATCCTGCTTTGCTTTTTAGTCGTGATCCACCAACAGTTATTTATTCTAGATTAGCGAATTGCCTGTGCGTCACTTTTATTTTGCAGTCCTCTTTCTATAGTAATAATTTCGCGAATCTGAGAGGGTTTATCCGTTCTCCATCTAGGTTAATGCCGCTATTTATCCCATCAAATGTTCCTCACATTCCGCTTTAATGAATCCTTCCATTCGGTTCAATGCACTTATGTGATCGTCCAACCACAATGATAGCGTTTCCAGCCAAACGCCCCGAGACACCAAGTTCAGTTTGCAAGGGTGATTTGGATCTACAAGTGGCGGCAGTATCCTACCACACCACTACAAGTCACACAAACTCTCTGCCCTTTCTCTCTATTCTGAAGGGCAATTGTCTGAAACGTTACCTTTTAATAATTATTTGTGTTAATTGCCAACGTGGGGATTTAAACGGGCTTGTGCATTGCTGCCCACGCAGTCCATTGCTTCCGTGTTTTGTTTAATGGCAACAAAAAAAAAGGTTAAAGATTATGTAACACCTGCCTGATTATGGCCAGTGATTGCCACCTCTGGCGCACAAAAGAAAAACGGAAGACCATCCCGCAATACATTAAGAGGGGGAAACTACATGTACGTGCAACGTCTTGAGTTGTGTGTTATTACTCAACTGACAAAAAACCTGACCTTTTTAAAGTCCTGGGAAAACTTACATATGTCCCATGACATATATCCGATTTCCCCAAGACAGATACCTGGGAAAACCAGGACAGGTGGTAACCCTGGTAGCAACACGAAGGGCTTCATTAATTTCCGGCTGTGGCGCGCTCACTTTCCCAAGGGGCCGTGACCCGCTCGCAACTGGACGTCTCTCACCCTCTCTTGCCCTCCTCTCTCTCACGCCTCACTCGCGTCTCACGCTTCGACGAGGAGGGGCGGGTCGGTGGGCTGGCTTATAAAAGGTTGTGGCGAGGTGGGGGTGTAGCTTGGATAGAGTAGTGTGGGAGAGGTTGTTATGGTATAGATAGAATGGCTGGCGTGGGGAGTGGTGTGTTTCAGAAAGAAGTTGTGTGACTCAAGAGAGGAAGATTGAATGCACGACAGCGTGGTGTGGATCGAACGAAGGGTACAGGGGAGAGTGGTGGGCGAGATGTCGTCGAAGGGGAGATGCAGATTCAACTTTAAAGAGAGCAAGTGCGGAGGGGGTGAGAGTGCGTGGTGGGGCTGGTGAGTGGGCGTGAGCCTTGGATACAGACGGCTTTGGTTGGGTGTGTGGCAGTGGTTGGGGGGGGGGGGCAGTCAGTCTATGGGAGGCGAATTCCTTGATGTTTCTCGGTCAATCCATCATCAATTATTGGACAAATTAAACCCGGGCCGGCGATCACGGCTGTTTATTGTGCGGCGCGGCGGGGCAGGTTGTGTCTCGACAGGCCGGTGGTCCGCACGGCTCTGCTGCTTTCGCACCCCAGACTCGATCCTCCCTTTCGTACTCGCACTCATGATGCGTTGCCGTGGATAAGCAGTGCTCCGGTCTGTGCCTTCACACGTCAATAAATGCACTTGCTGTGCGGCGGTAGTGGCTATGTGCGGCATATAATTGAGCACTGTGGAGACGAGGGTTGGTGGATCGCACAAATGTTGCGAGGCTGTCATCACGTGTGCGTCGGTGTGCCGTACCCTGGCTCGCCAGCAGAAGGCAGGAGAGCAAGTGAACAAATCGCCATCTGTTCCCATCTGTACGGGGATGTCGTATTGCCCCCTTGAGCGCGTGGGTTTTCTCTGGGTGCTCCGATTTCCTCCCACTTGTATAAATAAACACTCATGAATGGGCTGAAAACATCTTAAAATATAAACACACAATGCAGGACCCTCTTGGACACGAGTCCTAAGTGTAGCTTTCCTGGATACAGTAAGTCATAAATTACGTTCTCTCTCGCGATGCAATTGTCCCATTCGACATCCACTCACGTCCATCGTCATTATCGTCATGAGCCGTGGTCTATCCACTGCTAGATGAAGACCTCGCCGCGACTTCGCCATCTCTCGCGGTTCTGCGATAACGCACAGTGTATCTTAGACTTGCATGCGAGTTTCACTCTTCGCTCCATCTCCGCGGTAGTCGTATCTCACGGACGCGCGTCCTACTTTGGCTGCACCACTCAGTCACCAGTCTCGTCCGTCGGCCGTCATCCTGCCCAAGCCCGCTTACTTTTCTGAACAGTCAATCCGGTGTCTCTGATTTGCGCTTGTTCCCCGATTCACGCGCTCATCTCCAGGTCTCTCAGTTTCCTTTGAAGAACGTTCCTCTCCACGCTGCTTCCGCTTCAATATCACCTCCTTTGTCAATGTCCTTAGTTGGGATCGTTTTGCCAGAGCGAATAATGTCCACTGATTGCAAACGGTTCACAGGGCGTCTGTGTTAGAGCCTCGCTGTTGATGCCGCAGCGGTCAGTAAGGCACAGTTCAGTGACGCATCGCCTTCGAAAGGCTTCTCCGTTCATTGGTAACGGAGACTTCGCTATCTCGCCGCAAAGGTAAAGGAGCAGCCCTGCAATTGCTTGCTTGCGCCACTGCTGGCGGAAGGGTCTCTACTCGAGGGAGCTCCGGAGAGACCCTTTCAGAGGGTATTTTGCCTGCTCTTCCATGCTGCTGGCCGGACGTCTTGGAAGAGGTGGGAGAACCCACATTTTACCCCACCGTACGCGGCTTGCCGACAGGTTGTGGGTTGTATCCATTTACACTACTGAGTGGATACAAGCGAGGGGGCTTCAGAGACGTGGCTCTCATTGCAGCTGCCATTCCGGGAGAGCGAAACGGAGATTTTTTTTTTTTTGCATCGCAAGTGCGCGTATATATGTGCACATTTACGTTTGCGCATTAATGTATGCGTGTGCAATGTATGTATGTGGGTCGAGCGAGCTGGTGTGCAAGAACGCTCACCTCTTGACTTCGGGGCTCGCGGCTTCGTTCCCACGGCCCCCATTCCCACGCATCCCGCATGCCCCGCACCTCCAGCAGACGGGTTCACCGCCAATCCCGGGTGCAGTGCGCACAGGCAGGGCCACTGCAGGATCGAGAGCTGCTACGTGTGCGTTGGCACACTTGGCACGACACAATCCGAACTTTTTCGTCAATCACCCTCCGCAAACGCAAACTGCTGCGCAACCCCGCAATGTCACTGTGTACACTCGGCTCTTGAAGGCACGAGCTCCCCACGTCGTGCCTTCACTGGAGCTCAGGGAAACGATTTATCCTCTTAATCTACCAAATCAAGTTGGAGCTCACTTAAGCGTCGCAGTTTAAAAAAAAAAGACTTCTAAGTTTTGTGTGGCGGTAGAGTGAAGAGGTGGGTGGGGGAGGATGCTGGCTGGTTGGTTGTTGGTCGCGATGGAGAGCGGGGGAGAGAGGGAGGGAGGGGAGATAGTGGGGTTGGGTGTTGCACCCCTTTGTGAGCGGCTGCACGGAATAATGTCTCATTGTAGTGCAGTGGGGGGGGGGACTGCATCTCAACTCCTTCTTTCCGAGGCCGGGCAGGGCCGGGCCGGGCGTTTTTCTGTCCTCGGCGTCGACGCTGCGAGCGCTCTCCCGGAGTTCGCGTGGAACGAAGAGAGGTCACCTGCGGAACTGGTTGGCAGGGGAAGTCTTGCGTGAGAACACTTTAAGATTACTGGTGCACGCAAACGGTCATTTCAAGACATATAGATGTACCGTTATGACACGCAAAAAAATGTGTACTCCCAGAATGATTGTAATTAAAAAGTCACAATTCTGATTGTTCTTGTCTTCGGCCATCCTCGATCCGAGGCCTGGCCGCACCATGGGCAATGCTTCGTCACTGTCTTCTGTCTTCTGCTATCCTCATTGTCTGCTCCAGCGTGAGCCTCGTCCATGCTTTGGGTGTTATCCATCCATGTCACCGTTGGTCTTACTCGCGCGCGTGAACCGGGTATTGTGCCTTGCATGATCTGCTTTCCCAAAACAAGTTCCATTTTTTCTCATCATCTCTAAGTTTTCATTCAACCCCAACTTTCTCCAGAACCCATTCATTTGTTTTCTTTTCACTCCACGATACATGCAGTGTTAATCCGCCCGAGTCAATTTAAAAGGCGTGTATTCGTGCCTCGTCGTTCTTCCTGATTGTCCAACTTTCACAACCATACGTAGCAACTGGCCACCACAAGGGCATGCAGAAGCCTGATCTTCGTTTCCATGGGGATGCTGTGACTCGTCCACATTTTCTTCAGGGATGACCCAATCGCCTGACCTCTACTCAGTTTAGCTCGAAATTATTTTGAACACTTTGCATCTTCAGTGATGACCGATCCAAGATATGGAAAGTTGTTCACTTGCTCCAGCTGGGTGCCTTGTATCCAGATATTGCAGGTTCCTCCATCACTGACCATCACTTTGGTCTTGTCCACATTGATGAGGAGGTTAAACTTGCGACTGACCCGATCTAAGCGATCTGTCAACTCCTGCAACTCCACCTCGGACCGGCTAGCAAAATGATGTAATCGGCATACTTAAGATTTGTGACTCGTCGTCCTCCGATCTGGATTCCTCCGAAGAAACCATCAAGTGATTGTTGGGTGGTCTAAAAAAGCAGTTGTTATTGTGCACTATAATTATACAAACGGTATGGTGATGTCACTGCTCTTTGTGTGTAGTTTATTGTCCTTCAACAAACACAGTACACGCGGCATGCACGACATGCCGAGCGGACCGAGTTTATGGGCCCAATCGCACATCTGGCACCTCGTGCCCGTTTTAATGCTCGTATTTGCGTCGAGCCTATGTGCACTTTCGTCTCTGGTGAGTTTTTCATCGTTCACAGAAAGTATCAGAATTGGTTAATGGGGACACCTGAGCGCCGTCGTCATTAGAGGTCGCCGAGTTACAGTTGACAGATGTTAATTCAATAATGGAAAGTGCATACGACATTTGTGAGCAGACTGATGTTGCGTCACGTGAAAATGAAACGACATGTTGGTTAAATGTGGAGCAATGCTTTCCATATTCTCCCATTTGATGCCGAGTCACGAACAAAGATGGGCATCGTAAACAAACGTTGATGAGCCAGGTTTCAACGTTCCAAGTCTCATCAGCAATGTTAGTCAGATGCTGTTGGGTCGCCTGATGTTATTTACAAGAGGCTTTCCAAGAAAACCATGGGCCCATTCAGTGAAACACAGCAACGTTGTACCGGCATCTTCAAATTCTGGTGGATATCGTTGCCCCAAAAAGAACGGAATGGTGATAGACCAACAAGTTATGAGATGTGTTTTTTTTTCCTCAGTGAAACAGAGCGATGTGTGTGATTGTATTATTTTACTGACCATATTCCATCGCGACGGCTGGTAAGAAGATGTGTTAAGCAGGTCGACGTTACGGGCAAGGGTTCTTCTTCAGGGCAGGGGGTACATGAACACCCCCATAACAAATAATTGATTCGGGCTATAAACACGCTGTCCCTTTATGAGATCGTAATCGTGAATATACACGTTGTGCAAAGTATACTTTCACTGCCAGCAGACATGTTCGTAAGACATTAAATGCATGTAACACACATTCAAGAAACATAACACATGAACACTTTGTAATTGTTACACAATAACGAATCGTAACACTGACAGTGCAGCACAAAAGGACGAGGGGGAAGGGTGGAAATAATTACAGGCCTCTATTAAAACCGCTCAATGTACTCCCGCGTCTTTTCCGACATCTACACAGTTCATCATCATCATGATCACGATTCGTGGTCTATCTACTGCTGTGTGAAGGCTTCCCCTTACGGTCCCTGCAATGCAACGATCCATCTAGAGCTGAATTCACCGCTCCATCTCCACTGATTGTCATCTTCTCGGCCGAGACCCTTCCTTGGCTGCCACTCCTTCGTTAATCTCGACCACCTGCTATATTGTATACTCATTCCTTCGACATTATGATGGCGTTTGTGAAACATGGTTTGAAAACCTGTTTAATCTCAATTATGATATTTTTAAGTTTGGGTTTAACGTTATGAATGTCCAAATCCCGCTTTAATAAATCAAATATAATGTTTTATCTTTAGTGTTTCTGTATAATTCTGGCGAGTAGTCCGCACTTCCTTTGGACGCGTCCGTCCATCCCTCTATCCCGCCATCCATCAAAACTTGTTTTTTTCTAATATAGTAAAATTTACACTGTGCGTCTGTGTTGTTGTAGTTACCTCTCCCATCGGACCAGGTGTCCCATACACATGTGTGTTATTTACGTCATCTTACGACACGAAAAACCATGAATACCATTTGGAATTCTGGCAAAGAAAATACCAGCGTAGCGTCACCCCACATTAGAGACACGGCCCACATTAGAACTACTTCTGAGAAGTTGACTTCCGGAGGCCGTTGCTCTAATCACTCCCGACGTGATGCGCATTCCAGCTGCCGAAGTCGCGACACTGAGATTGAACGTAAATAAATGGGCGTCGCCTGATGAAGTTAGTTGTAATTACTTGCGAAACGTCGTACTCAGATTGTAAATGTTTTGTCTTTGCTCTCCAACACACCGGTGTGCTTCTACTAGTAACGAATTGGCATGTTCTGTTTACGTGACAAACCTTACTAATCGGCTGTGTCAGGTGGTGGCGGGTTTAACGACAGATTTATATATTTACGCGATCTAACCCCAAACCCCCCCCCCCCCTGTATTATGGATACTATTGGTCGCAAAAGCCTACGGATTTAGCAGTGGCCGTAAATGATGCATGTGGCGTCTCTGTGGCATGAGTCTCCATGAGTATAGATTTTGGCAAAACCAAAAAGAAGACACGCAGGACCAGCCTCCACAGAGTCCCTTCGCTCTAAATCTATTAATGCGATTTATCGTCGCTAGCGTGTCTCTAGCCCTCGGGACGCACAAAGGGAGAGCACAAACGCATTTCCATAAGGCTGTGGAGTGGATTAACATAGTTTATTAAAAGCAATCCGCGCGCGCTAAGCGTTTGTTGAGGTTTCCATGATGGCATTGTACATTGTGTCAATAAAGGACTCTTCAAGCCCTCTTCAAGCCAGTAGCATTAGTCTCTTCATCCAGTAGTGGATTGACTACAGCTGACCACGATGAGCCCCCAACTTAAACCAACTGAAATCGAATTGGGACTGAGAGCATCTTTTTTTAAAGGCAGACCTGACGTTATGTGGCGAATACATTCGGATCATTTGCCATTTGGAGTTAATACGATTTTGCAATATGCGTTGTACTGGATAGCACACGTGAATGCACAAACTCCCCGCACCTGGTGCTCATTTGAAGACTGAGCCGACCTGTGAGAAGCCCAGGGCAAGCTCAATTACCACTGACCATCGGGTCTATCCACGACCTGGAATCGAACGCAGGTTATTGGAATTGTAACGCAGTGATACACGGCAAACGCCGTTCGCCACTAAATGGTGGCGACGTCACCACGGCGCTTGAGGTCAGACTCGGTGCACATTGAGGCCACGTGAATTGTCGAAGCCCCGCTAGCAGGAGGTTATGAGACAAAGCCAAGTGCCATGGGCTGACTGAGATGAATGACATATTCACGACCTGTGCTCTCCACTGTGCCAATCTGCTGCGTTTTAGACGCACGGTGCTCCACTCGTGGTTGTGAGCGTCGCTCCTCTGCCCTCCACTGTTGTTGAAGGGCGACTGCCTCCAACTGCCCAGGAGCGTCGTCCACGAGCCTCCTCGTGACGAGGTAAACACACACACAGACGTACGGACTGCGCTGCCTATACTCGCTATGCAAATTACAGCAGCGAATAGACTTACATCTCGCGCCACGATTTCCAGAGAATGGGAGAGCTTCACACAGCAGATGGAGCGGTGAGATCAGCCAGTGTGGCGTCACTCATGGATTGTTGTTGCATCGCGAGAGATTTGCATTCAGCAGTGGACTGAACATGGCTCGTGATGGATGAGTCTATAAAACCACACAGGATCGGATGGATGATTTTCATGGAGTTTTTTTTACGTGTAATATGTGTCACCTGTTCACATTATTCATCAGACCGGCAATGTATAATTATTGGTTGAGACGGATTATTCACTTTTATTCGACTATTAAAAATCCTACTTCAGCCCCACGTGCTCCTATTTCTTGCAAAGTGACGTCACGGAGGTATACAATTTCTGCGTCCTTATAGTAATAGGTTTTACCCTTCTGCGTCCTTCCTTACAAAGCGCGATTCCTCAACGCGTGAAGGCCTCGCTCTCAACACGCGGAGGGGGGCCACGCACGCGTGAGTGCCCTACGACACCGCAGTGCTGACGAAGAAGTATCGGTCAAGTGCCCTTCATGTCGCCTGCACTCGGAGAGCTGCAGTGACGCAATGCCGAAGTCGTAAGTGGTGGCGAT